TCGGTCCAACACTGCGGGGTGGCCGGCTTCTCTGCGGGGAGAGGGACACTGTCACTGCCGGGGCCACTGGGGGCCACCTGGGGTGCCCAGGAAGGGGACACAGAGTGTGGGGGCGAAAGGAGAACTCACCTTGCACAGTGACAATAACCTCGTGCACAGCCACAGTGTTTTTCTTCACCCGGCACTGGTAGGTGCCTGTGTCGGAGACTTGCAGGTCAGCCAGGCGGATGGAGGCATCGTACTGGCTGGGGTCGTTCTGCACGAAGGCCACCCGGTCCTGCAGCCCCGAACCGCTGCCGTAGTTGACGTGGTGGTCATGGTAGGACAGGAACTGGGGGGAACAAGCGGGGAGACTGGGCTGGGCTGGTCCGGGTCAGGGGACCTGTGGCTGCCAGCTGGGGAGGGACATGCACTGTGCGGTGCTCGGTCCTTCCCTGCCCTCCACTCCCAGACCCTGCCTGGATCTGCCCGCGCTGCCTGGAAATTTCCCCTCCCCTGCCAGACCTCGCCTGTCCTGCCTGCTCGGCTGAGCTCCGTCTGGTCCTTCCAAGCCCTGCCTGCTCTGCCTGGTCCTTCCCTGCCCTGCCAGACCCTGCCTGTCCTGCCTGCTCGGCTGGGCTCTGTCTGGTCCATCCCTGCCCTGCCTGCCTGGTGGGATGGCAGCTGCCCGGACGAGTGACACTCACCACGTTCTCAGGGCCAGTCCGCTCAGGCGTGATCTGGATCCACTCGATGCCCAAGCCCTGGGGACCGTTGTCTTCAGGCTCGAGGACATAGGGGCAGCCCAGCTTCACCGAGTCGCCCTTGGCCAGGTACAGCACCTCCCGGCCCTTGCTGTTGATCCTGACGGCCAGGAGGAGAGCTGGGGAGAGAATGGCACCCGTCACGCCGGCTGGAGAGCATGGGGCACCTAAAACCTGCACCCCAACCCCACATCCTGCAGCACCCGGCCCACGGCGGGGAGCAGGGACCCATCTGCCAGGGGCAGGCACCACAGGCTGGGTCCCATGAAGCTGAACTGGGGACGAAGGGACATGGTGGGCTCAATGCCACCTGCCCAGCTCCGTCCAACATGGGTGGGTGTCAGGGCAGGACCGGCCCCGGCTGCAGGTGCTCTGCTGATCGTGGGATGCCTGCGGCACCCGGGGTGCCTCGCGACTGGGCAGCGACCCCTCCATCCTCGTCGGCATCACTGCAGGAGCGGGTCCAAGTGCAGGGATCCATCAGTGCCTACCTGGCATGAGACCCAGGAGCAGGAGCAGGCTGGCGCCGTGGCCTGCCCTGACGCCGCAAACGTGCCCCAGCAGTGCTGGGTGGTGAGGAGGAGCGGGAGCGGAGGAGGCTCCGAGGCGACAAGGCAGCCGGCCGTGCGGGGCTGCTTTTACATGCTGGGCCGGGGCGCTCCTCCCTGTGGGGCGGATGCCTTTGGGATGACTGAGTGGCTCCAAGCTGTGCGTGAGCGATGCCGCCCTGCTCCACTCCCTACCTGGTAATTAAGCATCGCCATGCTATGGGCTCCCATCCAGCCAGACCCGGGCCAGGGGCTGCTGCAGGCAGCACGGGCGAGGGGCACCAGCACGCCCTGGGGCACCCGGAGCAGCGGAGCAGGGATCTGGGGGCCATGGACCCCACAGTGCCTGATGGCTGGTACCCTGCTGGCAGCACTGGCAGGATGAGTGTGGTCAGTGGGAAAAGGCTGCCCGGGACCCCCTGGGAGCAGCGTGATCGTGGCTGAGCCTCACAGCTGCATGAAAGTGCCAACTTGGTCCCATGCAGGTCCCATGCTTTTGGTCTTGGGACACTTGGAAAAATTGGAAGAGCTTAAAGGTGTGGTTTGACCATGAGCTTAAGCTCCTGCAGATCCCTCCTCCTGTCCTGCCCCCTCAGCAAGCGGGCACAGGGCTACTCTGGCTATGTGGGGACCATGGCACCCACCAAGCCCATGCTCATGCTGGTGGCACTGTTGAAATACAGCACGGAGGCCTGGATGGTACCCCAGGCATGGCTCACTGCATGGGTTCATGGTGGCATGGCAGCAGCAGGGGCAGCAAACCCTGGGCCACCATCAACACAGCAGAGGGAACAAGCAGTGTGGCAGGAGGAGGCTGGGACAGCCAGAGGGGATGAAGAGAGGGGCCAAAACCTGCTAGAATCTGAGGGCAGGATTTGGGACAGGGATGCTCTGCAGTGGATGGAGGAGTGTGGACAGGGATGCTTGGCAGTGGATGGAGGATTTGGGACAGGGATGCTCAGCAGTGGATGGAGGATTTGGGACAGGGATGCTCAGCAGTGGATGGACAATTTGGGACAGGGATGCTCAGCAGTGGATGGAAGATTTGGGACAGGGATGCTCAGCAGTGGATGGAGGAGTGCGGACAGGGATGCTTGGCAGTGGATGGAGGATTTGGGACAGGGATGCTCGGCAGTGGATGGACAATTTGGGACAGGGATGCTCGGCAGTGGATGGAGGATTTGGGACAGGGATGCTTGGCAGTGGATGGACAATTTGGGACAGGGATGCTCAGCAGTGGATGGAAGATTTGGGACAGGGATGCTTGGCAGTGGATTGGAGGGGTGTGGACGGGGATGCTCGGCAGTGGATGGAGGAGTTGGGGACAGGGATGCTCAGCAGTGGGTGCTGGGGGACACGCTGGGGATGCTCAGCCCCGCGGGAAGCTCCAGCCATGGGCACTCTCCGTGCCTGTGTCCCTTGGAGGGGCTGGGCTGGCGGAGCCCCCTCACTGGGCTGCTCTGGGGCTGTGGGTCAGGCCCCATGTCCGGCTCACCCGTGCAGTGCCCCGCGGCACAGCTTGGCCATGCTGGTGCTTTCCAGCGCAGGACTGCCCCAGCCGGCTCAGCAGCACCGCCCAGCTGGTCCCAAACACCAAACACTCCCTGGGGCCAAGAGCTGCTCCATTTACTGGCCCCGAGTTGAGCTCACCGCTGCCAGTTAACCCTTACCGGCCCTGTGCTGGGAACTGGGGCTGAGTCCGGCACATGCTTCGCCGCGTCTGTGATTTCAGGGCCCCAGTGCCTGGCCTGGCCCCGGGGCAGCACCGACGTGGCGAGGGGTGCCGCCTGCCGGGGCCGTTCCCACCGTGACAGGGGCGTGGCTACCCCAGGCTCCGG